AAGGATAAACATCCAGACCCGGAACAATTATTTGTAGGCCATACAAATACTTGTACCGTGCGGGATTCGAACCCGCAGCCCTTAGCGCCGCAACTCATTGCTAAGATACTGAGCTACAGAGCCGTCAAAAGTTTAGAAGTATAGGATAGAAAGCTTGTAACACCTGGCACGAGAATTGCGGATAATAATTTGTGTCACCCTTATTCTATAAAAAGAGCAATGGTTCTTAACCGGTGATCCGTGGACGGCTGGTGGTCCCTGAAGGCAACCGAAGCGTGTAATTTAGGGTTTTTAATTGTTTTATGCGGAACCCTAATTATTTTTCTAAAATAAAAGTAGCCTTAGTTGCTCCTTATAAGAATCAGATATCTGCCAGTGAAAGTCCCGTCAAAATCAGCCCAGCCATGTCGAAGATTAGCCGGAACAAACAGACACTTCAATTTTATTTATTTGTATAGATTGAAAACATTTTTTGGAGATGATGGTCGGATTTATAATACAAGTGTTGCTACATTAAAATAAGGTGTAATTTACAATAATGCCACACATTTAGTTTTGTACTAAAATTTAAAATCAATCTTACCATAAACATATGTATAAAAGTTGGTAGTCCGTGTCAAGACAAAAATCAGCCAAATGGTTATATCACTATAAAGTTAGGCAACTACTGATTTAAGACCTAATATATAAAATTCTCGTGTCGCGGTGTTTGTTACCAAACTCCTCCGAAACGGCTCAACCGATTTGTACGAAATTTTGTGTGCATATCGGGTAGATCTGAGAATCAGCTAACGTCTATTTTTCAAACCCTTAAATGATAAGGGTGACCCACCTCTAAATTTTTTTTAAATTTTTTTGACAAAAATTTTAAATTTAATTTTATTATGATTTAACATTGACAAATACATAAAACTTCAAATTTTCACCTTTCTACGATCAACCCCTGTTTTTTAATCGCGATTTTTAAAACTAAAAAATATTTCGTAGAAATAATATTGTATATAAAATATGGCAAAACAACGTTTGCCGCGTCAGCTAGTATCCCTATAAAAAAAAATGTTAGACTTAGATGTCGAAAAAATATTTTTCAGCATTCATTGTCCGCAAGTTCCCCAATAGACAGAACCAACTTTTATTATTTTACTGAGCAACAAAGCGTAGACAATAAAGATAGCGTTATGGCGTTACAGTCTTCTGAATCTCTTTGCAAATCTCAAACTATACCTATTCTCAAGCAAACAACAATGTGTTTACAAAGTTATTGAAAATGTGATAATAGCTACTTCAAGTAGCGTTGTCACTTTTTTTTTATCAAACTTATTAAGAAACAGTAGAATTGTCGTAGTAGCTCTGAGCTAAAGTTGTCCCAGTAAATTTCACAGTATAAAGCCTACCCATAACTGGCCTGTGCCCACCAGTGGGACGTTTATATAGTCTGCAACTTTTTTTTTTACATCTCAAAGGACGTAATTTTAATATTAACTTCAACGGCTCGCCCCTAGTTATTAAAATAATACATACATAAATAAATAAAAGCCCAACTAGATGGAAGCCCTCGGCAGGGAAGACCAAACACAGACAGGGAAGGCCAAGGGAAGGGAAAGAAATCGGTGGACGGTGCGGGCATTATCAAGGGGCACCTCCTGCATTTGAGCTCGAAGCGGTCCGTCACGTAGTCCTAGTCGCCTCAGATGACCCGAGAGGCAGACCGGGATTAGCACATTCGCAGAGACAACTAACCCACATGTCGGTCACCTCGTGAGCCAGGTCCAGATATTTTGTTTGCTTATGTGTATCGGCTTTCATGAGTTTCTCGTCATACGGAATAGTAACGTCGACAAAAATATCCTTGACTGTGCAGTGTGCACGAACCGGACACAGTCAGCACAATATAAGGCTTATTCGCGAGTATTGTTCCGTGTGTGATGACGGCCCGGTCCCAGTAGAGAAATTATTATTAACCACACCTTACTTAGGTACACGCAATCAAGTCTCCAAGATCGACTAGCGTTTTGCTTGACTTTCATTCCTTATGTTATTTATAGTCGCACTTGTTCCTTGCACAGAACTTTTGTTACTATAGTATTTTATATTTAATTTGATTGTAGTTAGGTTAGTTGTGTCAAACTAGAACAGGTCGTTGTTTTGATGATTTTTTTGTAGATACTGGTGTGCGTGTGTGTGTGTGTGTGTGTGTGTGTGTGTGTGTGTGTGTGTTTGTGTGTGTGTGTGTGTATTTGTGTGTGTGTGTGTGTGTGTGTGTGTGTGTGTGTGTGTGTGTGTGTGTGTGTGTGTGTGTGTGTGTGTGTGTGTGTGTGTGTGTGTTTTATTAATTTTAATATGTCTTTATGACGTGGTAGCACAGCGTATACACACAAGGAGTATATTCCTTTATAAAAACCTGTTAGTAGGTATGCATCGAATTAAAGCATACTTTCCAACCATACCGCAATAGAGCTCGCCCAGTATCGATAAATTGAAATGCACCCAGCTCCGACATTCAAATCCGCGCATGAAAATAAGTCGTGACGAAGCCGAGGCTGAGTATCGAACGTTGCTTTAAACACTGGATAATAATACGGCCATCTTTCACTATAATTGATCTCAGTAAGCCAACGTCCATCTAATGCTGAAACTGTTACAATGAATTGAAATTATAGAGGTAGCGAAATCAACGGGACCTTCGCAGTTTCTTTGTTGAAATATATACTTTTGAACAATTGCAACGTCAGGCGGTTTTATTTGAAATAAACGTTGCTTCTTGTATGTCTATTCGTATAACCTTACCTAGCTAAATAGTTTAAATTGATTCAGATGTAAAGAAACACTACTATGTGATTCTTGAAATTTAGATAAAAGAGCCATACTATGTATAACAGGTGTAACACGAATGTATCGGCTCGACCGGGGTAGGACTACGCTCCCACAGAATACCAGCGTGAAATAGCAGCTCAATACTGCTGTATTTCGTATGGTGAAATTAGAGATCCGGAAACCCTTTTTTTATAGAATAAGGGTGACAAACGAGCACGCAGTCTACCTCATGGTAAGTGGTTGCTGTGGCCCATAGACATCTACATCTATCTTCATTAGCGAATCAAAATGCAGATGAGTTGTCACCCGTGAGGACTAAGATGGAATGCCTCTTTTCCAGTAAAATGGGTCTCCGGTTCTCTACACTCACCATACGAAACACAGCAGCATTAAGCTGCTATTTTACGCTGGTATAATGTGAGAGCGTGGTCCTTCCCCGGTCGAGCCGACCCATTCGTGTTACAACTATAGTATTATAGTATAGCTGCAGCATGGCTCTACCACGTACAAAACTGAAAACGAGGAATTCCATTATAGTCCCCAGGGGTGACAACGCATCTGCATTTTGATTCTTAATCGATGATAGTATAGGTGTATATGGGCCGCAACATCGACTTACAATCAAAAACAAATTTTAAAAGAAAATAAAATCATGTTGACTGTGTGTGTACTCGTTTGTCACCCTTAGGTACATATTCTATAAAAATAAACAGGCAAGAATTCTTTGTTTACTACTATTGCCGCCAAATAGCAGTACTTACACTGTGTCCCGTCCTAAAGGGTATAGCAAACCAGTATAAATACAGGCTGTGAGGCATTCTATCTTAGTCCTCAGAGGTGACAAGTGACAAGGCATCTCTAGCCTTCTTTGCTTGAAGCAGGCGTGTAGGCAAGCGCAGTTTTTTTTTTTTTAATTTTGATTAAAGATGTTGCTGTCCATCTCGTTTCATGTCCCTCTGTCGCCTCATACGACCGGTACGGGGTTATATTAATTATTATTACTATTTAACTATTATGAGATATAATAAAAGTAAATTGAAATTATATAAATCATATATCCAGAGTAAACGATAACAAAATTAAATGAAACTAGTTTTACGGATTTGATTGGGTTTTATCATAACTTTTAATTCCCGACGTTTCGGGTGCTGCACAATTACAGCACCCATGATCACTGAGGTGTTCACGTGAGCCCTGATGTCATAGTTAGTTATTAAAATGTTAAAGCTATACAATTAAAAATTTTATAAGCTAATTGCACTAAACTAGGTGGAAGGACCCCTCTTCTATCTAGGAGTCTATTTGAATACCGAGTACTGAGTATTGAGAGCCAGTTACAGCATGTGAGGCATTCCATATTTGTTTTAAAATGCCTGCAGTGTCCAGAAACTGCAGTAGCCACTTACAATCAGTAGACCTTAATTTCGCTTGTTACTTTTGTTCTATATTAAAAAAAATTGCTAATATACAATATTGCAAAATACAAGGAATATTAATAATACTACATTATAGTTTAATATGCATAACAAGGACGAAACTAGTTATTAACAGACACCGCGATTGAAATGCTGAGTTTGCCTCACAAGAATCACGAAATTATTTAAATTCTTCCAAGGTAGATCTACCTATCTATCTAGAACAAAGTAATAAACTTGCTTAGCTTGGGAATTTTAGACCAATCCCTAGTTTCGATTATAAACAACAAAATATATTATTCAGATGTTCCTATGATAACTCTAGTTAGATTATTTTTTGTGATTAAATTCAAACGAATCAATTAATTGAATATGTATAATATTAATTATCGTCTAGAGCGTATCAACGATTAGTAAATAACGTTTATATTAGATCTTCAGTCACGTTCAAAGTGCAAGAGTAGTTTTGTTTAAATTCTTTACGAAAAATGTATCAAAAAGTTCTCGTATACAAGGAATAAGTAATAGTACATGTAGCTCCTATTTATTCAACTGTCTACAATACAATTGTCAGTAATATCCTTGAATAATGTTGACAAGCGATGCGGGTATCTGTTCACTCATAGTAACACTAATTTGATGTGCATATATAGAGGTAGACATTGAATTTCCTAGTTGTAATCAATATTCGAGCGATAGTAACTTTATCAAACACCAATCCGAAGCATCCAGACGCACAATCACAATAGGTTGATAAGAAAAAATACTGACCGTAAAATCCGCTCACTTGGCGCTACACCTGAGTTAACAACATTCCAAAAAAATACACCACAACAAATATCTTTTCACCGAAAATCAACTGTTGTGCACACTTCACTCGTTTTCACACTGCGTCAAACACAACACTCGCGAAAACGACAAAAATGTAACAATGTTTTTTTACGAAAGTTATCACGCGACTTCGATAAATCGCGCGACACAACCACCTCACTCAAAAAACCGTCTCAAACTGACGCTCGTGCAAGAGCGAGAGAAGGATCAAAACGTATTTGAATTACAAGGCGTAGGTGTGAAAGAGATGCAAGCTTCAAAGAATGAAGTTAGCGGAATCGCGCTGCCGTGACCGGGAATGACCACATGGCACGCATTTTGTTTAGTACAATGATTGCACAAATTGAGAGTTTGGCGCGTTTTTGTTTAGAGCCACGTGTTTTCAAATTTTATTTTTAAATTACTCAAAGGTTATTTAAGTGGCTTTTGTTAATTTTGTTTATGCCAGCATCCAGTACTCACAACGACTTAATGGTCTCTTAGTAACTCTGGGAACAATAAAAGTATTGAGGACCAAACGTTTTAAAAATTAAAAGTTTCTATTATTTACTCTGACACAAAGTTTATTTGCATTAATTTGTATATATTTCAATTTGTTAACTAATAACTTATTATCTAATAACTTTTAAAATATAATTTTCTTTTGCATGGATTTTGTTGCAAATATTTTAAATTTAATAAAAAAACCATGCTATCAAGGGAGTTACTTAATTAACTATTTGCAAATCCGCATAGGAAATTTAATGAGTCAGATCTGAATGTCGAATTTAATTAAAAATATAATAACTAATTAAATAAAATTATCATTCTCTATACCCAGTTACTACTAGTGCATCCAGCCACCTTGCGCAGACGTCGTTCCATGCGTCAGGCCCACATTATGTTTGGCCTAAAAAAACAATTGTCACTTCTGCGACTAACGTGAACCGTGACCAGGTCATTGTAAATTTCAGTTTTCAAGCACGAAAAGCTACGTCAGTAGTTACCCGGCGGATTTCTATGTTACAAATTTCATCGATAAGGGAAACCCCGAGCATAGCACTTTTCTTCTTCTTTTTCTGAGCGACTTTGAGTTTGTTGAATGGTCGTTTCATCAGGGTTCACGTTTTGACACTATAGCACAGAACACTATTACCACAGAATAAATGGAATAGAATAGAATAGGATAGGATAGGATGGGATCCCCCCCGAACGGGTTCCCGCCTTGTCGTGGCGGGGGGGCTTAGTAGCCGTGGCTTGGTCAACCGCGGTGAACAAAGAGGAACCCCTTGGCTGGCCCGAGGTGTAGGGCCGCCCCGAGGTGGCCACTCCGAGTGGGCTTGACGAGCCCACTTCGGATGTGTGTTGGTGGGCTGCGGTGAGAGGGGAGTCCGCACCCTCTACCGCTGCAGCCGAGGTGGAGTCGCGGAGGAAGAGGAGTGTTGGTATGGCGATGCGCCACTCGCCCTATCCTCCGCGACTCAGACGGGGCCGCACCGTCAATTGTTGCGGTGGTGGTGGGGCTGCGGGGGGAGAGGAGTGTCGGTATTGCGAGGCGCCGCTCTCCCTACCCTCCGCAGCCGAATCTTGGTTGGCGGCGGAGCCCGAGACCAGATCTGCCGCTGGGGTCGGGAAAGCGGGCGCTATTAAGCGCTCGATTTTCCGGGCCCCATGGCCTCCGCGTATCGAACTTGGGGGGGTCCGATACGCAGGAGGAGTTGGAGGCTTTGGAGGGGGGTAGCTGAACACTTCGCTACCCCGTGCAGGAGACGAGGCCTGGACAGACCGGGCCAGCACTAGTGTGGGGCTGCGGAAGAATTTGGATTCCCGCGGCCCCGCGCGCACGTGCGAGGAGGCGCCGTGGGGTTTTAGCCGGTAGGAGTCCGGCATAACCTTCCGGTTGCCCCCACAGCCGGAGGTATCCATGAGGATTTCCCCACGAAAAAAAAGAAGGATAGGATGGGGTAGGTTAGGCTAGGATAGGATAGGATAGGACAAGATAAGATAGGATAGGATAAGATATGATATGATATGATAGGATGGGATGGGATAGCATTGGATAGAATGGGATAGGATGCGAGAGGATTTGATAGGACGGGATGGGATAGGATGGGATAGGATGAGATAGGATGGGACGGGATGGGTTAGGATGGGATAAGATGGACTAGGATGTGATAGGATAGGATGGGATGGAATGGGATGGGATGGGATGGAAAGAGGTGTGGTGGGGTGGATAGGATGGGATAGGATGAGATAGGATGGGACGGGATGGGTTAGGATGGGATAAGATGGACTAGGATGTGATAGGATAGGATGGGATGGAATGGGATGGGATGGGATGGGATGGAAAGAGGTGTGGTGGGGTGGGATTGGATGGGATGGGATGGAATTGAATGGAATCGAACAGAATAGATTAGAATAGAATAGAATACAACAACAGAACAGAATAGAACAGAACAGAATAGAACATAACAGAATATAACAGAACAGAATAGAATATAATAGACTAGTCTACTGCAGAATATGGGCCTCCCCATAGTAGGGAGAATTTACCATAATTGTCACGCTTGGCAGCATGGCAGGCGGATGAATCGTGGCAGATTATTAATCACGGTTCTGAACAGTTCGCATCTTTTACGCTGCTTTCCATATTCAAGCTGTGTATTATGAATTCTAAATGGTTATTCCGCCATCTTACCGTGTAGTTGTGGAATATCCACTACCCCATATCATCACGTGGTGTCGTACGAGGCGACAGTAGAGAGATACAAATCATGAGATGGGCAGCAGCGTTTTCTTAATAACGACTAAAAATAGAAAGCTGCGGTTGGCAACTCGCTTGCATGAGGCAATCAATGGGGGGATATTTTTTTAATAGGCTGTAACGGTAACATTCTAACGCCATCTATCGGAAGCCGTGGAGTCTTTCTTGTATTTTCCCTAGTTTCTTACGACACCCACAAGGCAAGAGTAAGTGATGAATTCTAAGAGAGTCCATCACACCTGCCGCTAGTCACATTATACATCTTCATCATCATTACAGCCCTTCACAAGTATACTGCTGAACCTCCCTTAGGCCTACCCTTAAAAATACCACAAAGGGCGGTCCTGAGCCACCTGCATCCATCGACTTCCTGCATGTCTTACCAGGTCGTCACTCTATCTAGTGGTGGGCCGTACACTTCGCCTACCGGTACCGGTACTCGAGAACCTTTCGTCCTCTTCAGTTGTCGGTTCTTCGAGGTGACTGACCATTAATTATTGTACATAATTAAATATTGAACTAAATCAACACCTATTATATTCCATATAAAATAAATTAAATTAAGTCTATATTTTTCGACCGGATTACATTATATTTATAACTATGTCAGCGACGAAGTCCGTTAAAATAACCTCCTTAAATTAACAATATCTTCAATATTATGTATCTGAGCCGTGAAGACGCAGACTTACTTCATTTACATTTTTTTAATAAAAGAGGTAACGTCTCTACAAAAACGGCGGCAAACAGTAAAATTATGCGGGGCCTTGATATTTTGACCTCACTTTGCTTATTCGTAAACGAAACTGAACGTCTCTAAAAGGTCCATTGCCAGTATTATTTTAGGATTACTAATAAGATTAACGTAACTAACACTCTCGAATTGCGTGTTTTGACGGATTATTTCACCGATTTTAAAGAAAAAAAGAGGTTCTTACTTTGACCGTAAGAATGTTTCTTGTGCGTATTTTACGCGACATTGTCGCCAGTTGTGAACCGATTATTACGAATATTTTCTGATTAAATAGTGTTTAGCCTTATTTATTATTGGTGGATAATTCCATTTTAAGAAAAAAAAAATCACTCCTGGACATTGGACAAATACGAGATGAAATTTTTATTATAACTATTTACATGTCATTCTAGTCTGATTTTAGTTGTTATCTTGAAGTTATAATATTGCTTAATCCACTCAAAAGGGTCTAATAACTAAACTTAAATAAAAATAAAAATAAATTATTAATTCCCAGATTTTTTTGATAGAATAAAGGTGACAAACGACACACATACCACGTGATGGTAAGTGTATGCTATGGCCTCTAGACATCTACATCAATCCTTGATTAAGTATCAAAATACAGATCCTTTGTCACCTGAGGACTAAGATGGAATATCTAATTTCCGGTAAAAGGAGTCTCCGGTTCTCTACACTCACCATTCGAAACACAGCAGCATTAAGCAGCTATTTTCCGTTGCTATTCTGTGAGAGCGTGGTCCTTCCCCAATCGAGCCGATCCATTCGTACTACGACCATAATAATATAGCTGCACTCTACAACGTATGAACACATAATTTAATTGTTTTAGAATTCGATGCTAAGACAACGCTGTGTATCGAAGGATTAACGGCCAAACTTCAGGAGCTGTTAAATTATGTGGGAATTTCTAGATCTCGACAACAGCGCCGTCTATCGGGTCCAATTTTAAATATAAACCATCAAGGAACCCATACAAACATACAAAAAAAATTCATTCAAATCGGTCGAGCCAGTTTCCAGTTTTAGCGAGACTAACGAACAGCAATTGATTTTTATATATTGAGCTGAGGGGGTTATTTAAATGTTAAAACGTGAATAACCATTTTAATAAATGTTTGTATGTCTGTCTGTTTGTGGCTAATCTTCGGAAGGGCTGAAACAATTGATTAATACCAAGAGCCCAAGTAGCATGCAAGCTGTGTACGAGCTATATTGAAGTTAGTTTTTATACTAGAGGCTGTATTTTCCGGCTCTATAAAAGCTGTATAAGCGCTTATACAGTTCTTATAAGTAAAAGATCAGCACAAATTGTACTTTTTGCGTTCGTAGCGCTGTACAGCAACTGTACAAGCAAAAAAGAGGCTGTAAAGCTGATGTATTACAGCTGTTATGTCGTGTGCAAGGAAACTATTACCCTACAGATATTGTCTTATAAGTAACTTTTAAAGACAAATGTTTTAAGTTAGTTTTCGAACGGGATTACAAATGAATATAAAACAAAAATAACGTTTATTGAATGATGCCGACATTTAATATCTTAACATATACATATTTAACATATTAATATTATATTTGGATTGGAGTTGAGTTTTGACGGTGATAATTGGTGAATTGAAAGTGCAAAATTAGATTTAGAGTAAACTTGTATATTTTTCCTATCAAAAAATAGCTGCGTCAGCAAAATAACAAAATAAAATAAGGACAAAATACTAAATACGTTAACTAAATATCGGTTGTATAGCTAAGAATAAAAAAAAATATGAAGGTACATTGGGGCACAGTGGTAATAATTAGTCAAACTGAAATTAATGGTATAGGCTTATATTCCCTAAATATGCTAATATTTCCAAAATTATATTTTAACTTTTGTTTTTATGGGTCTTAAAATGGCGACAATTTGTTAAACAACCTAAACAGTATTTCCAGGGTCTTATAGCCTTAGTAGCTGTACTATGTATGTTATGGATTATATTATGCAGCCATTGGTGTTCAATCAGTTATATAATAGGATATTTTTAATACTTACGGTGTATAGCAGTTTTTTCAACATGACATATAATCCTCTTTAGAAATACGTATAAAAGATGAAAAATCTATCTATCTGGGTTCAAAGTTTACAAGAGATGGAAAGTGTGAGAGTGATATCGAAAGAAGAGTGAATGCAGGAAACATGGTGAATGGAGCTTTGCACTCCTTTATGAGCAGTCGGAAGGTGTCTAACAAGGCTCGTTTGGCTGTGCATGAGGGGGTGTTGGTTCCGACACTCATGTATGGAAGTGAAACTTGGGTATGGCAGAAGAAACATGAAAGCAGAATAAATGCAGTTGAGATGAGAGCATTAAGAAGTATGATAGGAGTTAAACTGAGTGACAGGCTAAGAAATAGTGAGGTAAGGAAACGTTGTGGTCTGAAAGAAGATGTAGTGACAAAAATTGAGAAAGGTATGCTGAGATGGTTTGGCCATGTCGAGAGAATGAATGAAGAACGATTGACGAAAAAAGTGTATAAGGCGAGTGTGAATGAAAGTGTTGGAAGGGGTAGACCTAGGCGGACATTTCTAGACCAAATCAGGGACGTCTTGAAAAAAGGCCAGGTCAAGAGTACCCTAAACCGTAGAGCATGTATGAAGGGAATAATGAAAGTGGACGAAGCAAAACAAGTATGTAAGGATCGTAGCAAGTGGAAAGAACTGGTCTCTGCCTACCCCTACGGGAAAGAGGCGTGATTATATGTATGGAATAGTGTTGGATAAATTTGATTTGGTTTAGATGTAACACCAAATTTTTTCTTTTTTCCACACATTTAAAACAAACTATTTTCGTTCACTAGCACAATATAAACACACAACGCATGCAAAATGGTGATATTCTGTCACTTATACAGATTTAAGTTGTAGGGGAGAAGTGGCATGAAGGAGCCTGGTTTTGAAAGAGCCACTTACATTATTTTGGTAGTTTATGAACGGATTTAGTTGGTAATTTTATTTTTAAGTAGCAACACTGATTCCCTGTCACCCACAAACATTTGACAGTCCGCCGAAACCAACGGACAACGGTACATCGAATCCAAGTTTTTGGTACTAGAAAGTAAGTATTTTGCTTCATTTAACTTGGTTTTTGGTAGTTTATTGTAAATAGATATAGGTAAATGGACTGTAGATTGAGTTTGTTCATATACTTGGCCTTGCAGCTGCGTAAAAACTGAGCCGCAAAAGTTTCGATATTGTTGTTATTTCAAAGGTTATATTTTTTTAAAGAATAAGTTATGAAAGAGCCTGGTGAATGGGCCTTAAAAGAGCTGGCTCTTTCATAACCCTGCGTTTAAATTTTGTAAATAAAATAAAATAATAGTAAATATGCATTTTTTTTTAAATTACTTGCTTCAGATATTGCATTATGGAGAAGCCTGGTCCAAAAAAACGAAAAAAACCAGAAAAATCGGTAATTGAAGAAGCAGTCAGTGAAATTTTGGAGAAAAGTCAGTCCATAAACAAAACGGCACTTATCTTTAATATATCGAGGGCACACATAGCTAAAATAGTTAAAAAAGTAAAGGCTTCTGGTGAAACAGTTTACAAACACTGTCCTAATATAGGAAATAAGCGTATTTTCACAACAGACCAGGAGAATATGCTTGCGGATTATTTAAAGATTGCTTCTAAAATGTGCTATGGCCTAACAAGGCAACAAACTAAGAAGTTGGCATTTGATTATGCCATGGCCAAAGACATCACTCCAGATAAATGAAAGGAGATTAAAATTGCGAGTGATGATTGGTTAAAAGGGTTTATGGACAGACACAAAGATCTAACTGTGAGAAAACCTGAAAGCACTTCTCTATCCCGTGCGACAAGTTTTAATACAAGTAATGTAAACTCATTTTTTGAGAAGCTAAGCACTGTTTTGCGCAAATACAATTTTCCTCCCCATATGATTTTTAACGCCGATGAAACAGGCTGCAGCACCGTCGCCAATCCTCCTAAAGTCATAGCTGAAAGAGGTTCGAAACAAATTGGGCAAGTTACCTCAGCTGAACGAGGAACATTAGTAACAACTCTGTTCTTTATTAATGCTGCTGGTGGTTTTTTACCGCCTGTTTTTGTATTTCCTAGAGTAAACTATAAAGATCATATGTTAAATAATGGTCCGCCTGGAGCTCTAGGGTTGGCTCAAGCTTCTGGATGGATGACTGAGGATTGTTTTGTTAATGCACTTAAACACTTTGTGATGCATATTAGGCCATCAAAGGCGAATCCAGCATTAATATTAATGGATAATGACAGCTCTCATGTGAATCTCAGAGTGGTTGAATTTGCCAGACAAAATTCAATCATTATAGTTACATTCCCACCGCACTGCAGTCATAAACTGCAACCACTCGACGTCACAGTATATGGGCCTTTCAAAACTAGATACCGCATTGCCATGAATGAATGGATGTTGTCAAACCCCGGTAAAACGGTGACTATTTATCAAGTTGGGCAATTTGTAAAAGAAGCATATTTGGCAGGTTTCACTCCTCATAATATAACACAAGGATTTTTGAAAACAGGAATTTACCCCTTAAACTCTAATATATTTAATGAAGAAGAATTTTTATCTTCATACGTCACTGATAGATCCGATCCATCACAGTCTAACGATGGTAATGAGTTGAACTTGGACAAGAAAAATATTGAAAGTAACTTGAGATCAACACCTCCGCCTTCTACAAACACACTTGATGCTCGCGAAGAAAATGAGGTTGTAACAGACCAGATTATCAGACCATCTCCCTACTTAACATCTAACCCTATTGTTGCGATTCCGAGTACTTCTAGGCAACAAATTATATCACCGGAAATGATAAGACCATTTTCTAAAGCAGGGCCAAGACAAAACACGACACGCAATAATAGAAGAATGTCGTCTGCCATCGTGACTGACACTCCCGAAAAGAAAATATTAGAAGAGAAAGAGGTTAATGCGAAAAAAACGAAAATTATTTTTAAGAAAATGACCACAAAACAGTCCATAAAAACCCTTAATAGAAAATCAAGAAAAAATCATGAAAATTCCGTACTACCAGATGACTCTGATTCGTCTGACTCCAAAACAAATAAAAACAGTGATGATTGCGTAGTTTGCAGCAAATCATATGAAAACAGTGATCAAGATTGGTTTCAGTGCAAAATTTGTTCTGACTGGGCTCATGAATCCTGTGGCATTAAGGGAAAATTTAATTTCTTTTGCAAGACATGTTTTTAATTTTAAGCTAATTACATTTTATATTCCAAATGCCTAAAAAGTCTGAATCCTAAAATTTAAGCAGATAGAGATTTAGAGAGTGAAGACTGAAGCCCAAAGTGAGCAATATTTTTTTTGAAGTTCTTAAAGATTTAACGATGTTGGTTTTTATAGATGATATTTGTTATTTTATTTAATTTTCAAGATTGTTATTAATAAAAAATAATCCGCCTCTAATAAGATTATATATATAATAGGTACGACTGAATAATATGTTAAGATTTAACGTTGTTAGAATTATTTAAAATGACTGATAGAATTAAAAATTTCCTAAAAAATTTCATTAGTTTTTAAAAAGGACTTGTTAGTTGTCTTTTTATTTATTTTTTTTAATAGTGGCATTATTATTATTTTGTATAATATTCACAATTACACTTTATAATACAGACTGGCTCTTTCATAACTTTTAGTAGCTCTTTCAATACCGAAATGTTATGAAAGAGCCAAAAAACATTTTTTTTTAAATTAATATTTCTTTGATTTTTCCATATCGTTTAAGGTTTTTTCGTATGTAATTACTTACTTTAATAAATAAATAATAATTGAAGAAGAAAAAAACATTATTTCTTTCATTTAAAGTATGTTTTTATCCTCCGTTTAGTAAACTGGCTCTTTCATGCCACTTCTCCCGTACTATGGCTGTTATTTAGTTTTTTAGTTTTATATCACTCTCATAGACGGAAGTCATAAAACTACTGTATTTACAAAGGTATAGAATGACACCATGAGAATAAGTTTTAGGAGCGAGTTTGCATACACCATTGTTCAGTAATAGCATTTTAGTGATACTATAATAACACTTAGAATGTGGAGTAGATTCCGCCCTAGGGTGATGAAAATGATGCGCGGTTGTGACCCAGTAGTAAATAGGGTTTATTTTACGCACACTACTTGGAGACTCGGGTATACAAATCATGACATTAGAATGTTACAATTTAACACTAGCGTTTAGAGTACGGTTTCTTTACTCATGTGGTCTAGATTCGGCCGCGGCACAGAACCTATTGAAGGTTCTGGCTCGCTTTTGCACGTAGTTCCTTAAGTTGCACGTAATTACTATACGGGGGCGTATATCCTTACAGATATAATATAGAATATACTCAAATGCATTTTAACGTAAAAATTACAAGCATTCTTCTTCATTATCACCATTATTATAAACAAATTATTTTATTTTAATAAGAACTAAGAATAGGGAAGGAAAAACTAGCCTGAAATACAGGTATAATATCCTAGTTTAAGGGATGTTGACCATTGTAAATATTTGTGATAGTAATATGTTTATCAATAAAGATTATTATCAGCCCGTAAAATTCCACTGCTCAACGTTAATCTCTCACGTCGTATGAAGGATTTGTTATAAACACAGCGCTGATCGCCAATACTGCATTGGCGATTGCAGTACCATTCTGTGCGAGCGTGGTCTTTACCTGGTCGTGCCGACCGATTCGTGTTACAACCAAAATACACGCCTTTATATATCTATATCATAATTTAACGACAACTTTTTTGCCTCTTTATTGTCATAAACAGAAGTTTTTACGTTTATAGTATGTCTTGAAATGAGGCATGAAATGTTTTTACCAATCGTAAACCACAAGATAGCCTCAGGCAGAAAGCATTGTTTAACCGCAAGGTCAAACAATGCTACAATTTAAAAATGACGCAGCAATTTATTTTATTATTTATGTGTTAGAATCACGATATATATATACTGACTACAGCACGGATAAATTGACTTGACCGGGGAGGAATCACACTGAGAGTGTACGAAAATACGTAAAATAGCAGTAGCAGCTTAGTGATGCTGTTTCGTATGATGAGTGTACCGGAGCATCATTTCACTGGTGACGAGACATTGCATCTTACATCATAGACTTCAGGATTCTGGAGTAACAACACATTCTCATTGAATAAAACTATTTTTACGAATTTTATCGCGTTTAGTTTAGTTATTTTAATTCTCGACGTTTCGGGTGCTTTACAGAAACCCATAGTCACGGGGGGACTGACCTTCAGTTTTTGAATATTAATTTTTGGTTTAACTTTTTTTAATTTTTGGTTTAAAAACTTTAGATAGAAACAGAAATTAATATCTACTTTAAATCGAACCAAACATTAATATTCGAATACTAAAGTTAGCCAGGCTAACTGTGACATCGGTACGTCAAGCATCTCAGTCCCCACCGTGACCATGGGTTGCTGTAAAGTACCCGAAACGTCGGGAATTAAAATAAGTAAATTAAACGCGATAAAATCCGTAATAATAGTTTTATTCAATGTGTAGTGTTCGCGTAAATACAAGAAATCATCAACACATTCTCATTTTGGTTCACAATGAAAGATGGGCAGATGTGACCCTTGGCTACAGCATACAGTTACAACCAGGTGGACTGTATGCTCGTTTGTCATCCTCATTATATAAACAAAAGAGTTTGAAAAACAGTACTTGTATTTAATTATCTTAGCGTGTCTTAGCTGTCTATCTGGTTCGGATTTCTGTTGATACAGTTGTTTAGTCTGGTTCTGTTTTGTATGGATTTTATAGTATAATAAACGATATGCTCAAACATTAATTGGTGCTAAGCAGTAATATTTTTAAGTAATTAATTGTATTGTTAGCTTGTCGAATAAAATAGAAAACCTTACAAGTGTTGTTACCGAATTAAAAGTCAGATCAACTTATTAGGATTATTATCCGTTAGTACTTATTATTAGGTATACGCTCTTTTCCAAATATGTCTAGACATTTTTATCATGGTCTTTAATTTCAGAATAAAATTAGATTATACTTTATTTTAGTCTTAAACCTCACCACGTATCGCCAAGAGAGGGGGGGGGGGGGGGGGTTAAATGCTAAAAAACATCACATGATCAATGGACGGCTCTTAATATGGTCACCATAAGCTTTGACACTCTATAAAACCAAAACTAGGAGAAGAACGGAGACAAAAACACAAAGTCGTATACTGTAACTAATATTTTAAGAAAAAAATAGCAAAAAAGCTTTGGCAATAATTAAAATTAAATAAAAATGGACAAAAATATAAACTATTATGTCAACTGTCAAAATGGCGTCGATAAAGTAGCATCCTTTTGATCCTTTATTATTTGGTTGACTGATGAAGAGCTATTGTATCACAGAGCCATCCATGCAAACAAGGCTGTAGTTTTTGAGTTATAAGAAAGTGACCATATTATTAATCGGATTAACGTATTACCCTCACGTACTATATTTATAGATAATTCAAGTTAGCCTCAGAAAATAAACTCATATACAGTATTATTACAAAAAGTAGTTTATAACTTGTCTTCCGTTATAATAAAGAAGTCCCGTCTCGTGGAAGAAATGCGAACTAAAATGTAAGGTATGAGATTTGACCGCAATGTAATTCGCACATTTTCTACGGGACTTCTTTATTGAAACAAACTGAATTTCTTTATAGAATAAGGGTGGGAAACAAGCACATAGTTCACCTGATGGAATGATAGATGATATGGCCCATAAACATCTACATTTATTCTCAATAAGTATCAAAATGCAAATGCCTCGTTTCCAGTAAAAGGGTCTCCGGTTCTCTACACTCCCCATACGAAACACAACAGCATTAAACTGCTATTTTACGACGGTATTCTGTGAAAGCGCGTTTTTAAAACCTAGACTAATCTATTACTACTTTTTTTTGTGATAAGATGAATAAAGAAAAAGTTGTTTATGGTTGTGAAACGCAGAGACGTCAGCGTCGGAGTCCTCGAGGGAACAAATTGATGACACGTGACTAGACGCAGACTCGCTCAACTTCAACGCAGGAAATATGAACAAGAAATATGAAAAGATTTGGCTTGTCGACAGTGCAATTCGTAACGTTTTCTGTAAAACGTGCCTAGAAATTGTATTAAATGTCGCATATTTTATGAATTATTTTAAACAAAAATTACCTTTGCTTATTAAAAAAAATTAAATTTCTACGTATAAAATAATTTGGCGAAGCTTGTTGCGGATAAATAGCGTATTAATTAATTGTACAACAACAAAATATAATATTAAAAATAAAAAAACTTTTTATAAAAATAATCGTCATCATCATCATCAGTCTGTAAAAGCCCACAACTAGACGTGGATCCCTCTCGTTGTTGGGATTAACCGAATACCTTAATCGTGTAGTTTACGATTAAGGTATTTTGTTAATTCGGTCCTCTAACACGTAAACGAAAAAATAGGAAAGAAGCTTGCTATCTGAAGAATAAAATACATTTCGATGATCTGTGAGTATCTGAGTTGTGTGTTTGAGTCTTTGACAATTTTGGAGGTAATTTTTTTTTATAATAAGGGTAACAAACGAGCACACAGTATATCTCATGGTAAATGGACAGATGATTATCGTGTATTTTTTTTAAAAACTTTTTATTAAGTTAATCCGGGGAAAGGTTTATCTGTGTTTATTATTTCATGTAGGTATGTACTTCCCAAGCAGCGCACAAGCATTTGGAAAATAAATATACCAGCCCACATAGAACTTAGAGTTCTTTTAGAAGCGTATAAGAGTGTTGAAAAGTGGTTGTATCCATATAAGAGTTGTTTTTGAGTTATTATACAGCTCAAGCTGTATATAGCTGTATTATGGGATTTAAATAAGGGTCTTAACTTAGGGTCCAAAATCAGAATAAGAAAACTCTAGTACATAACTTGAAGTATTTTGTAACACTTCAATCTTATTAAAGCCTTACAGATCTAACTATTATACCTAGTCAGGTCATAAGTATTGTCACACAGTACTTTTTTTTTAGAATGCTGGCCACAAAAAAGTTTATTGAATTCGAATTTAGAATTGTTCATGAAAATAAAACTGTATACTTTTTAGAATTTTACTCATTTTTAAATATGGAGTGGACGCTTAAAGAAGACCGTGTTGCAGTTATTGCGTTGCAGTTATTGCGTTGCATCGTTGCGGTTACGCGCC